TCCTTTATGACCACCTCCCCCTCTTCCACGGCCTCTTTTATTTTTATTGTGCTTAAGTCCAGCCGTGTTGGCCCTAGAGCGAGGGCACTCCCTTTTAAAGTGACCTTGTATGCCACAGTCAAAGCAGGTGGGAAGGGTATTAATCCTTTCACTTGTGTCCTGGCGCCTCCTCTGAGGCCTAGGTCTGTGATATGCCTCCTTCATTTCTTGTTGTTCCTCATCTCTGCGCCTTAAATCTTCCTCAATAAAGCGGCCAGAAAAGTATTCTATATTTCTTTGTTCCCTAGAAACCCCTTTTAGAGAAATAATAAAGGGACTCCAGGATTTGTCTAGGGAGTTCAACATCACACTAATTAAAGTGGATTCAGAAACAGGCTCCCCCCTCTGTATAAGCTCATCCCTCATGGCTTTAAGCGTTGCCAAATGTTCCCCCATTTTGACACCAGGTTTGAGTTTATAGTTGTGGAAAATTCTTGACAATCTGCTGGTTGCAGCCATATTGTCACTATGGAACAAATTATATAGGGCAGTCCAAACTTCCTGAGCTGTGAGGCCGTCTGAAAGACTGGCATACAGAGCTGTGTCTATAGAACTTAACAGGGTTGTGTAAGCTCTTTTATGCAGGAACTCAATTTCAGGGCTCCAAGGTAAAGGGGGTGGTCTTTTGATCATGTCCAGAGTATTTTCTCTTAAGAGAATTATCTGAATCTCTTTACACCATTTTTTAAAATTCTGACCACTTAAATGTAATTTTTCAAAATTATTTGGCAAAGTTACAAAATTATTGCCATTAAACTGCATGGGGAGTTGTTCAAATGGCTGAAAAGAGCCTGTTGTGAATGGCATTGGGATCCCTAAGCCTGGGATCGATTGCTTAGGTCTGGCTCCTTTTTGTAGTCCTTCTGTAGTTTGAAGCAACTGGGCACGTGCAGGAAATGGAGCATGCTCCAAAGCCTTTTCTTGTTGGAGCTCCGATCTCCCTCTCTGAGCTCTGAAGTCAGGTCTGGCTGGAGCTTCAGTAAAGGCCCGGACATCGGCAGTGTGGCGGGGAAACCTTGGAGGAGTGGGAAGAAGGCCTGGAGATCTTTCTGGAGACTGGAGGCCCATCAGATGAGGTCCATGGGCTGGATAGGCCTGGAAATGTCTCTGGATCTCCTCTTCTCCATCAGAGGAGCAGGATTGCAGCTCCGGATCATCCCAGCAGGACCGGAAAGGTGCGGAGGCCTCAGCCTGGGCCTCCCTGGAGCATTCAGTGAATGGTGAGCGCCTCTGCAGTGGGGGGTGGGAGGCTGCAGGTCCATCTGGGTTCCTCCGGGGGTGGGAGGTTGGATTTGGGGCCCTCCTTGAGTGGGCAGCTGGGTCTGGGGCCTCGGGGCGGCCGGTGGGTGGTTGCTCCATAAATTCCAGGGCAACGATCAGGGCCTCTATGGCCTCTTTGATGTTTGCCATGGAAGGCAGGGCCTGGCAAGGGGCTTGTGGGTTCGAAGTGGTCCTCTGGGCCGCTGGAATGCTGAATTGACTGGCTGGCGTTGTAGGCCTGGGCTGTGGAGCTGGGGATGGCCTGGCTCGTGGTCCTGGCAAAGTGCCCAGGGGAGCAGCCATCTTGGAGGAAGTTGCCTCCGGAAGTGGCCTGGTGGCCATTTTGTTTGGCGGGAAACTGGGGGGGGGCAGTCTCTCTGGCGGCAGGCGCCATCTTGGAGAGATCAGGCAGGGGAGTCCTTACTGGGATGGCAGACATCTCTGGTGCTGCCTTCTCAGGCCTCTTTCTGGCTGCTGCCCTTGTCTTCAGGAGGGAGGCGAGTGCTGCTCAGCACTCCTTTTCTGACATCTCAGCCACTTGCCTGTCCAGGCTTTCATCTGGTCCTTCTGCCCCCTCTTCGTCAGTGCTGAAGAAGCCTTCTCCAACATTGCCTGGCTCGGCCCCTGGGATCTCTTGCTGCATCTGGGTGGCCTCTGGCTGCCAGGGTGTAGCTGGATGGAAACCCCCTTCAATGTTTTCCATCGTTGATTCAGACTGGGGCTGCTGTGAAGTTCTCCTCCGTTGAAGGCCTCTGGTCACAACAGGGGAGCTTCTCTCACAGGTTATTTTGGAGGGCATCTCGCCTTTTCAACAGCTCCTGGAGTGGAGTTCTGCTACCATTCCCTCTGCTACCATTCTGTGGAAATTGGGATCGTAGAAACACCCAGGAGCATAGAAGAGTCCAAAGGCAGATGCATGAATAAATGTGATAAATGTATTTATTCATATAACAAAACATATTAACTATATACAAAGGCTGTCTTAATATCCATTAAGATAGGGGGCACACAGCGTGTGTGACTACCCCTATCAAAGATCATGTCTCATGGAGAACAAACGTAAAAGAGAGCATGGAGGAAAGGTTAGAGGGGGTTTTATACTCAGTGTAAGCCCCTCCTCTCCACATAGGGGTGGGGGCACTTTCTGCCTCCACTAGTGTCTGTATGATATATGTGCCAATGGCTTGCAACTACTTGACAAGTACCCAGGTCCTGAGCCATGGAGCGCTTTAAAGGTGGTAACCAAAACCTTGAAGCGCACCCGGAAGACCACCGGGAGCCAGTGCAGCTCGCGCAGGAGAGGTGTTACATGGAAACGGCATGTCGCTCCCTTTACGACCTGCGCGGCCGCACTCTGCGCCAGTTGGAGCCTCCAGGTGCTCCTCCGGGTGCTCCCATGTAGAGAGCATTGCAATAGTCCAGGCGGGAGGTGACATGGGCGACTTTGAGACAATCATTAGAGTATTGTGAGTTCTAGTCCTGCCTTAGGCATGAAAGCCAGCTGGGTGAGTTTGAGCCAAGGTCTAGGAGGCTCTGAGTTCTAATCCTCCCTTAGGCGTGAAAGTTTCCAGAGTGACTTTGGGCTGATCCCTAGGAGACTCCTGAGTTCTAATCCCACCTTAGTACTTTTTGATTGGGGCTGTGAAACATGGAAAATATTTTCTCAGATTAATGTGGGATGCCAGAATTGGGGATTCCTAGACTGTGAGATGGCCGAGTGTCCAATATTGTGTGGTTTGATGGAGGAAAGTGAAATTGTGGGAAAAGACCAGTTCCATGTTGGGCAAAGCCAGAAGTCTCTCTGCCTTCTGCTTGTGGGAGAACCAGAGGGATTTGTGTCATCACTGTGAATCTTAGGCTGATCTTGGTCTGATCCATCAGAGCTTTTCTTAGCTCCTTAAAATGAAATTTGCAAATTATTCGTAATTAGGAGCCATTCTGAGAACTAAACATTGATTCCCAATTGAAGAGCAATCTGTGTGGTTGGAGAGCAGAACAGCTTCCATGGGTGCCTCTCCCTAGAAACCAGGAAGTCCCCCCCCTCTATTCACCCCCTTCTTGGACCTGGATGAATATTATGCAGCATTGAAGGTTTGTGACCTGGTCAGTGATGCGGCTGCCTTTAGACAGGATCCCCTCAACCTCCTCCTGGGGAGAGTCTCCAGGTCCCCTTTCTCTGGGCATCTTCTCCAGCCCTTCACAGACAAGAAATGCTTTACGTACAAATTGTAAAGTGGAAAATTAAACAGCCTGAAAACTGCTATTTTATTTCTCTGGTTGATGAAAGAAAAAATATACAGTGGAAATTTCTTTACACACTTTAGTTTTTTTATTTACTTTATTATTTATTTTGGTGTAAAGTACCAAACAACAAATAAAAACAACCCCAAACTGAAATCCCAGACAGTTGTTCTGCTGAATTCTTTCTGCAAAGGAGGTTTTTATGAGGAAATCAAGAAAGAATTATATAAGAGAGATGAAGATTTCCCTCTTCAGCTGAGAGCCAGTCAAACATGGCATTTCACATCATTCCGGCATTTTCACGGAGAGGATCAGGCAACCAGGCTGGTTCCCACAGCTTCCTCCTGGCCTCTTTTCCTGCTCTCTCTCTCACACACACACTTTTAGCTGTAGGAAGAAGTGTCTGAATTATTTTTTATAAAGTGTCACATTCAATAGAACAGAAAATTTCTCTGAATGACTCTTACAGATTTCTCTTTATTGAGCTGAAAGGGAAGAGAGCTAGAAGAATTCCAGTCATTCAACAATTTCCCATTTTGAAACATATAGAAATGATTTTCTTTGACTCCTGCATACTATCTAAATGGAAAAAATATCTCCTTTCAAATAAAAGAACCGTTAACAATTCTTCCAATATCATAATGGTGTTATATCTCATATTTTTACATTTGTTCTGTCTGTGAGCTGCTCCTTTGTGTTGAGGTCTGGCCTCAGAAGGATAATGTAGCACTTGGGGATGAAGATGCAGCCCAGCAGACCAGCACTGGAGGCCAGGATGGAGAAGACCTGGACAGCCACCATGGATTTCCCTTTGGTGCTCAGGTAGGTGGGCACAAAAGTCACCCAGACACTGCAGAAGACCAGCATGCTGAAGGTGATCAGCTTGGCTTCGTTGAAGGCCCCAGGCAGGTTCCTGGCCAGGAAAGCCACCGTGAAGCAGATGGCAGCCAGGAAGCCCATGTAGCTGAGGGTGACGTAGAACATGACAACGGCCCCTTCGTTGCATTGCAGGATGATCTCTCCAGGCTGGGAGTGGAGGTCAGAGTCAGGGAAGGGGGCAGAAACTCCCAGCCAGATGGAGCAGATGATAATTTGGACAGTGGAACAAGACAGGATGATGGAGTTGGCCAAGCTCTTCCCCAACCATCTCTTCACTCGGTTTCCTGGTTTTGTGGCCAGGAAAGCCAGAACCACCGTGATGGTTTTGGCCAAGAGAGAAGAAACAGCAACTGAGAAGGTGATGCTAAAAACTGTTTGTCGGAGAAGGCAGGTGGCTTTCCTTGGTTGACCAATGAAGAGAAGAGGAGAGAAGAAGCAAAACAGGAGGGAGACCAGGAGGATGTAGGAGAGGTCCCGGTTGTTGGCTTTGACAAGGGGAGTTTCTTGGTATTTAATGAAGATGATTAAAACAAGGCCTGTGGTTAGGAAGAAGAATAGGGCAAAAGAGACCAGGGTGATACCCAGAAGTTCTTCATAAGACAGGAAAGTTATAACCTTGGGGATACATTGGACTCTGTTCTTATTTGGATATTTATCATCTGGACACATGGTGCATTTTTCTGTATCTGAGAAAAGGAAAAAGCAATATTTCCTCAATATTTGGTCCTTTACATTTCAAGAAATAACTTTTTTGGACAAACCCGATTCCAGGAATATTTTCCAAGATATGTTGTTTAACCATTCCACAGGAAAAAAAATGATAATATAATTTTCTAATACTTTTATAGCTAAGGAATATGAAATCAGAGGATTTCTAGTGCATTCTGAATAAACAAAAAAAGAGTTGAGCTTCAATGCATGTTTTAATTTGCACTTTCATCAAAATGCTGCGGATAAATCCATTTCCACCAGGCCTTCCTTTCCTCTGGTATCACCCACCTTCCTGAGTGGAGAAGGTCCCCTCCGGACAAGGAACACAGTCATAGCAGCAAACTGGCTCTCCTTCTCGAGCCCTCTTGACAAATCCAGGATGACAACTTTCCACACATTTGGACTGAGGCAGGGACTAAGCAGAAAAACAAGGAATGGCAAAGAAAATGTGTTAAGGCTCTCCGTCCATGGAAAATGGGAGGAGAAATGGACATTAGACAAGTAGCATCTATGCTTCACTGAGGTAAATATGAAATCTCTGACTCCTTCCAAACAGATCTAGGAGATGTGACCCTGGAAGGTTCTTCCTTTAGTTCCTCCCTTTTGCTTCTGGCACAACACGTTGGAATAATAAAGGACTTTTCTACTTAATAAAGTCTGGAAGGATGGAATTGAGAAAAGATTTAAGCATTGTGACAAAGTTAAAGGTTCCCCCTCATGACTGTATTAAAAGGCATTCCTCCACTCTTCATCTATCTATCTATGTTGATGATGATCATATTAAATTTTTAAATACCGTCATTGTCAAAGATTTATTAAATTATTTTATTTAATAAAGATTTATTTAAGTAGAGTAAAAAGTTATTAAAAAGGAAACTTCTGACCAGTAGGGCCTGGAAAGGTTTCTTCTGGACTAGTTCACTAGTTCAAAACAGTTTCCCCGTTAAGAGACAAAGCAAAAATTCCTCATAAATTATAGCTGATGATGTTACCTAGTTGGGTAATGAAACGCCTGGAAGAAAACAAGCAAGCTCAGAGAGCACCAAGGAGCCCTCATGTCAACCCTGAGCTACCAATATTCTCCTTTATTAAGACTGAAGGTTTCTGCACAGTTTCTAGAACTGTAGTGAGATTGAGGGGAGATCATGAGAAGGTGTCCCTGAAAAAGATTAAGTTGCAAATCTTTGGCTGCAACAGAAGGGACATGAGTGTGAGTCCTGGGTCAGGAGGAGATATTTCTAAGGCCCATCCAGTTATCCAAGAAAAAGTCCTTTGTGTTGAAGAACTCCAATTAGGAGACTCCAACTGGCATGGAAAGACTGACCCACATTTAATAGTAGTTGAATTTGGAGACTCCTTTTCAAGCAGAGGGACTGAAGATAGCTAACACTCAAGATCAACAAGGCCATTCATTTTCAGATGAAGAGCCCTCTTAATTAGCAAAGGCCAAATCTAAGTAGCATTTCCTGTCACAATCTGTCTCATTACTTCTGATATCAGGAAGACCTTTTCTTTGAACTAAAGTTGTGTTTCAGGTTTCTGGGACAAGGGATTCTCTCACTGGTCACTGTCATTTTACGTGAACTGAAAGCCTTGGACCTCCTTCCTAGGGGCAGAAGGCCAATTGCTCCCCCCAGTTGGGTGAAAGACAGATATGGCTACCTTTGACCAGGTCTGGACTACTTAAAAACATCACAGACCATGGAGCTGCCCTTTCCCAATGGCCTTTCCCTAAGCAGGACAAGAGGAAGCTTCTCTCCCAATGGGACCCCAGGAGCTCCATCCAGCCATGATTCAATTTCATCTCATTCAGTCCAAACCTCAATTCAGGGTCTCTTCAACAGAATCCCCTTCTGCTTTGCTCTTTCAGGACAAGGAACAAGTGAACCTGAGGCTCTTAACAACACAACCTCCAGCACTTGAGGGTTTCTCATCCCAGGTTGGACATGGCTGAACCAGCTAAAAACAGTCTTCAGTATTACAGCAGCTGAAGAACAGCTTGGTCTAAAGTACTGAAGGCTCTCAAGTGGTCTATAGAAAGGAAACTATAAGGTTTCTACTCCCCATGTTCAATTCCCAGTGAAGGTCACGGACCCTGGAAACTAGGCTTAGTCCACATGAAATGGGTCATAAATCTTTGGGAAAAACAGGAATCACACCATAATTTCTCCCACCTTGTTGAGCAACTTTAACTGTGAAAGAGTATCTTGGAAGATATTAAGTCTCTGTCTTTGCAAAGCCCCCATTCCAAGTTTGATGGGATCCCTCTTGGGGAGAATCAACCAGCTCACAATTGACAGATCTGCTGCTACATCTCCATTTTGATCCAAGTAGAGTTCCCTCTCAGAAATATTGCAAAACTGATTCTTCTGCAGGAAAGGATGGAACTAGAAGGGGAACATCCAGGAAGTTTAAAATGTGAAAGCTTTTTTTAAAATCCCATTTATCCTTTATACATTTGAATCTTTTTTCTACAGCTGCCTAACATCAAAATATACATTTAGAAAAATAGGTGTTTACTACCTTCATAAATAAAACAAAAGTTCAGCAAATTGCTCAACCTTATATTGGCAAAATATTTATTAACAAAATATGATTGATGCAATTGGTAAATTATAGGGGACATTCGAGAGCAGATGATAAATAAAACGAATCATAGGAAAAAAAGATTATTCATAAACTCCTGGAAAACATCAGGTTGATTATGAAAAATGGTTCATTTAGTGACCATTTCAAAGTTACAACGGCACTGAAAAAAGTGCCATGGTAGTTTTTCCCAGGATCCTGGCAGCATCCCCAGGTGATCAACATCTGAATTCTTGGCATCCACTTATGATGGTTGCAGAGTTTTAGGGTCGCCTGATCTCCTTTCGCGACTTCTAACAAGCAAAATCAACAGGGAAGCCAGATTCACTTAACAATCATGTTGCTGACTTAACAACTGCAGTGATTCACTTAACAAGAAAAGGCAAGAAAGGTCATAAAATAGGGCAAAACCCACTTAATGACCATCTTGCCTCTTCCAATAACTGGAAGAAGTTGCCCGGAAGCTCCAGATCTCCTCCATGTTGCTCCAGAGGGAGGTGGGGGAAATGGGGAAATGAGCTCAGTCAGAAGGGAGGAGATTCTGGCTGAAGGAGAGGAAAAAGACCCTGAAAAGAGGAGCCATTTCAGAGCTGAGCCCTCAAAGCAGAGAAGTTCAGCCTCCCCTTCACTGAGGAGGCAAAGACTGAGCAGCCGTCAGTCAGAGAAGTTTGACTGGGACTCCTGCAGAGAGGAGGGGTTGGGCTAGATGGTCTCAGGGTGCCCTTCAGAGTTATAAAGGTAAAATTCAACTATGCTAATCACAAACCCATAAAGACATGAGTGTATTTAAAATGCATACATCCTTTTAAAATTAACTGTGTTTAGAATCAAATTCTATCTGTGGTGGGGCCTGGTGCTTAGAAGATGATGTCTCCAGCAATCAGATTGGCCCAACTGTTGACCTTCTGAAGTGGTTGAGAAGGTTCCCCTCCTTCTCTTTTGGGTTCCTTCTCTGAAGGACCTAAGATTGATGGATCCATATTGTTAGAAATAGGAAAGCAGCAATAAAGCAAGGAAGGCAATCTCGTACCCAAAAGGAGCAAAAGTTTATCAAAGCATCTGCAATTAGCACAGCCCCCCAACCTGCCCCCCCAAGGCTCTCCCCACTTCTCTTCTCTCCGTATACCAATGACTGCATCTCTAAGGATCCATCTGTTAAACTACTGAAGTTCACAGATGACACAACAGTGATCGGCCTCATTCGAGACAATGATGAATCCGCATACAGACGGGAGGTTGAACAACTAGCCTCGTGGTGCGACCGGAACAATCTGGAACTGAAGACACTCAAAACCGTAGAAATGGTGGTGGACTTTAGGAGAAACCCTCCCATACTTCCACCTCTCACAATACTAGACAACACAGAATCAACAGTAGAGACCTTCAAAATTCTAGGTTCTACCATATCACAAGATCTAAAATGGAGACCCAACATCAAAAACGTCATCAAAAAAGCTCAACAAAGAATGTTCTTTTTGTGCCAACTCAGAAAGCTCAAACTGCCCAAGGAGCTGCTGATCCAGTTCTACAGAGGAATTATTGAGTCTGTCATCTGCACCTCCATAACTGTCTGGTTTGGTTCTGCAACCCAACAAGACAGACACAGACTTCAGAGGATAATTAGAATGGCAGAAAAAACAATGGCTACCAACCTGCCTTCCATGGAGGACCTGTATCCTGCATGAGTCAAAAAGAGGGCTATGAAAATATTTAGAGACCCCTTGCATCCTGGACATAAACTGTTTCAACTTCTACCCTCAAAATGACACTATAGAGCACTGCACACCAGAACAACTAGACACAAGGACAGTTTTTTCCCAAACGCCATCACTCTGCTAAACAAATAATTCCCTCAACACCGTCCAACTGTTTACTAAGTCTGCACTACTATTCATCTTCTCATCATTCCCACCACCCATCTCCTCCCACTTATGACTGTATGACTGTAACTTTGTTGCTGGTATCCTTATGATTTATATTGATATTGATTGTTTCCTGATTGCTTATTTGTACCCTATAGAATAGAATTTTTTATTGGCCAAGTGTGATTGGACACACAAGGAATTTGTCTTTGGTGCATAGGCTCTCAGTGTACATAAAAGGAAAAGATACGTTCACCAAGAATCATAAGATACAACACTTAATTATAGTCATAGGATTATAATTATAGTCATTAAGTGTTGTACCTTATGATTCTTGATGAACATATATTTTCTTTTATGTACACTGAGAGCCTATGCACCGAAGACAAATTCCTTGTGTGTCCAATCACACTTGGCCAATAAACAATTCTATTCTATTCAAACGCATTGTAAGCCACCCTGAATCTCCGGAGAAGGGTGGCATATAAATCAATTTTTTTAAAAAAAAAAAAATCCACCAGGTGGACCCGGATCAAAGCATGCAAGAGGTTTTATGCCCTTCCTCCTGTCACTCGACACTGTCCTGCTTTCCCATTGGCTGGGGACTAGCAAGCTCTTGACCTATCCGGAGCTCCTGTTCAACTCCTGGCCTTATTTTCCCCAGCAACCCCCTGTCTCCATGGCCTGGTGTGATTCTGCATCAGTAACTTTCCATTGTTCTTTTGCGTAAATCGGTTATATTTTGAAATGTGTCCATTAAGCTCTTGCTCAGAAATCCCTCCCCCCTTTTCTTTCTAGACTTTTCTGAACCACTTTGTTCACTCTAAAAACAATACCATTTTAACTAGTTTTTCAAAAATTTCCTTAATATTCTAGTCCCTTATTTTCTCTATTTATTACGCAGAAGTGGAAGCTGTAATGAAACATTATTTTAGAAGCAATTCTTCATATCTGACAATATCAGAACCCCCATACCTGCCATGTCTGCAGCCTTTGAGCCCCCAGCCTCCCTTCGCCCTCCTTCCTTCCCCTCCTCCATCTGGAGGAATAGGCGGCGTTCAAGGCCTGGGCCAGAGTCTGAATGAGACTGTAGAAAAGGTGATAATTTGGGATCCATCTTCTGTTCCTTTTCTCCTGGGTCTCCAGTGGGGCTTTCTGGGTGCATCTTCTGCGGCCTTTGACAGAAAAGACGTTCTTTGAAAGAGAACAGAGAAAATAAAGATCTTGAAACTTTTCTTCCACAAAGAAATTGGGTTCAAAGGCAGAATCCATTGGCCTTTTTTTCCCCAGATAGTCAAAGTTCCAAATACTATGGATGTATTTGAGAAGTCTGTGCTTTCCCAAAACTAATCTTCCCAAAGCTGTACAGATCCAGACTTTCCCTCCAATGGGTCCTGGCAAATGCATAAGTGTTAAATGGAAAGGAAGAATTCTGTCCCTAATGGGAATACTTTCCATGAAGTGAACAAAGACGTTCACTTGTCTCCACTTAGAGAGGGAATCCCTGAGGGAAGCTGTGTATCCAGTTGTTGAGAACACTTGTGATATAACCACATAAATTCCATTCCTGACAAGCATAGGAATAAAAATCCCCATGAAATTCTCTCCCTTCTCTGTGTCTGAAGCAAAGAGGCCAATCAGGGTCCATCTGAAATGGAGGAGCAGGTGGACAATTGCTGGGTACTGGAATCCTTCTTTGGGGAGCATCTGGTGGAAAAAGGGGAATTTCCTTTTATCACTCAAAGCCTTTGAAACAAGGTTTTTACTGATCTGAAAAAGCAATGAAGAAAGTTGTGTTATAATGAGGGTCAGATAAAATCCAAAACTTTATTTTTTAATAAATTCAACTTGGTATTGATGAACAAATTAAATATGTTATTGTTGATTAGCGATTATGCCGTATCAATAAACAGAATATTAAGCACAGTGTTAACAACACTGTATATAAAAACGGAGCACAAGAAACAAATTAAATAAAAAAGAATAAGAATTAAAAAAACATATTTCTGTATCACAACTTATTGCAATCAGACCCACATGTCTATGGAGATTCTCAGTCGTCCAGGTTCTTCAGCTCTGGATGAGAAGCAAAAGGTCTTCAAAGAAAAACCAGAAAGTCCAGTTGCCTCTTGAAAAAAGCACCTTTGGGACAATCAGATCCAGATGTGCAGGTGTCAAGTGAGCGTTTCGTTCCAATAAAGGGCCCTATTATATCTTTAATTCTTTATTTAAAAAGTTTTACAAATACATTTTCTCCCAGAAACCCTCCCTGACCCTTAACCCTGACTTCCTCAACATATATTCAAATCAAAATCACATTAAAACTTGAACCCTCCATGTATATTATTCAAATCTTCATAAAATTCAATTATTCTATCCCTACATGATACATTCATTCAGCTAAAAGCTATCTGATATGATATGATAAAGTGCACAAAACTTTGCAGAACCAGTGATGTTGGAAACATGGGAAAAAATTTGGGTCCAGAATGTTAAATTTACACAGTCGCAGAATTTGAGGGAAAATTTTTATAAAATGTTTTATAGGTGGCACTTAGATTCTAAGAAATTATCGTGTATGTATTCTAATGTTCAACCAAAATGCTGGAGATGTGATTGCTTAGATGTCACATATTACCATATGTGGTGGACTTGTAAGAAAGTGAAGGCTTTTTGGATAAAAATTTGGTGGGTTATGCAAAATGTTTTGAAAAAAAATCCAGTTTTCTCCACAATTGTTTTTATTGGATATAGTTAAGGGTTTTACATTGGGTGAAACAAAGCTGATATTGTATATGGTAACAGCAGCGAGATTATTGATAGGTCAATATTGGAAAAATGAAGCTTTGCCCACTATTGAGGAATGGACTTTGAAGATGGCAGTTTTGCAGAGATGGCGAAGATTTCAGCATATTTAAAAGATCGAACTCAAGAGACTTATGTATGGGAGTGGAAAAAATGGATAGATTATGTGCAGAATAAATATCAAATTAGGGAATATCTTTAATTCTGACTGAACAGCAAATATTTTGCTTTAACACAAGTTTCCCAATAGGTTGTTTGTCTAATGTGCAGTCCAAGACTCTCATCTCTCTCTTCAATATTCCAGATTCTTGGTGAAGCAATATTTGTTTATTTATTTATATACCACTTTGATCATTTTTGGGCTTTTCTCTAGTTACACAAGAGATAAGGAGACCACAGCTCCTAATATAATTTGTCAGATGCATAATCCTAGAGAGCTTTAATTGAAATTCTGCATCTTCTAACCCAGAGAACTTGGGGACTCTGTCAGGTTCCAGAGGTTTAATTGTACACTAAGAAATTCAGCCCTGTGGAAAAGGAAGGAGACCCTCTGTGAGTTCTGTGGTTTCATGTATCAGGACACAGTAAAAAGCATCTGGTCTTCAGCAGTTCTTAAAAGGAGGTAAATGCAACCTCAGGTGAACAGCAACACAGGAGATATAACAACCTGTCATCATTTACATTACAGAAAGAGAGCCAAAATGGAGGAGCCAGGTGTGAAAGGCTAAGGACACCCTGACTGCTTCCATAGGTGTGAAGAGGCTGAGAGGAAGCCTGGTGCTGCTGATCAAGGGACCTGGATTAATCGATCATCACAAGTGTGACGGCCTCTATAAAAGCCAAAGTTTCAGGAGTTTTCTGGTCTCCAGCATTGAGGTCTGTGTTAACACAATGCCAAAGGGCAAAGACTCCAGCAGTGATCTGAGAGAAGCCATTGTTGCTGCCTATCAATCTGGGAAGGGTTACAAGGCCATTTCCAAACAATTTAATGTCCATCATTCTATAGCAAAGAAGATTGTTCAGAAGGGGAAAACATTCGAGGCAGCTGCCAATCTTCCCAGGAGGGACCATCCCAGCAAATTCACCCAAGGTCAGACCGTACAATGCTCAGAGACATGGCAAAAAAAGACCAAGAGTTCCACCTGAGACTCTACAGGCCTCAGTGAGCCTGTTAAATGTTCCAGTTCCTGACAGCAGAATCAGAAAAAGACTGAAGAAGTTTGGTTTGTTTGGAAGGGTTGCCAGGAGGAAACTTCTCTCTAAAAAGAACATGGCAGCACGGCTGAGGTTTCCCAAGTTGCACCTGAAGAGACCACAAGACTTCTGGAACATTCTCCTTTGGACAGACGAGACTTTAAAGGATAATGGTGTGAATGCATGGTTGCTCGGGTTCTCAGGGAAACTAGTAAAGAAAACATCTTCACACTTGTGTTTGAACTATCATGTTTCAAGAGTCTTTACTTTCTTAAGTTGGAAGGAGAGGGAATCCTTACACCTGCTCTCTATGTATCACTCTGTATGTGTGTCTCTCTATGTCTTTCTATGTCTCTGTATGTGTGTGTGTGTGTCTCCACCCTCTCCCTTCGGGCGACCTTCCTCCTCCTCCCCCTCTCCTCTCATAACTCCCTGGCCGGGAGCAAAGTGCAGCAAAGGGGTGTGTGGGGTGGGCGGCCGCTCGCTTAAGGAGGGTCTTAACAGGACATGGCTTCTCTCCTGCACTAATGCTCCAGTCATCGCCTGGCCATGTCATCGCCCACCCCTGGCAGCTCTTTGGCCGTGCGCGGAGGGAGTGTCTTTCCTGAGGGAGGAACTTGAACTCTGTTGAGGCCATTGAAAAGTTCTTGTGGATGTGTCATAGTTGCATATTAGGAAGTCATGGGAATTGCCAAAGCAATGGGTTCCTCTCTCTCTTGTCCAACATAGATAGGAATTACCTTGGGGATTTGTGCTGCCATTTCAAAGTGAGGAGTTTCCATTCCTCTCCCATCCTGGTTGGCCCCGCCCCTCTTATTTCATTTTTTGGACTCCATCCTGAAGCGGCAGGAAGCGAAGGCTGCCTTAGGTGCAAATGTGGCGCGAAGGCAGGTCCAGGGCAGCTTCGCTCCTCCACTCTCCTTCCCTCCTTCTCCTCTTGTGACCCCCCTGGCCAGCTGTGGCTGAGCTGGGAGCATGCTCACGCATGGGGAGACCCTCCTTAAGCGACCTGCACCCACCTTTCCTGAGCTTTGGCATTCGCTTGAGAGGAGGGTCTCCCTGTGCCTGTGCATGCTCCCAGCTCAGCCACAGCTGGCCATGGGGTCACAAGAGGAGAAGGAGGGGAGGAGAGTGCAGGAGCAAAGCTGCTCTGTACCTGCCTTCATGCCACATTTGCACATAAGGCTGCCTTCGCTTTCTGCCGCTTCGCTAACCCGCAGGATAATTGTCCTTTACTATCAGTTTAAACCAACGTGTATTTAGCAAGTAGGAGCCTCAGTGGCTTAAAGACACTGGATCTGTTCCGGCAGTTCGAGTTCTACCACTGCATGGTGGGGTGAGCTCCCATCACTTGCCTCAGCTTCCGCCCACCTACCGTGTTTCTCCAAAAATAAGACCCTGTCTTATATTTTTTTGAACCCCGAAATAAGGGCTTGGCCTTATTATTGGGGGGGGGGTGTTCTTATTATTTTGGAGGTGCAGGAGGTGGCAAGCGTGGCCATCTCATGGCTGCTGCTGTGTTGCGCTGCTATGGCAGAGCAACACAACCACTCATCAGCTGTTCGCTGGGACAACCAAAGGTGGGAATCTCCCTGATGTTCTTGGCACTTGCCTTCTTTCCATCCATCCATCCATCCATCCATCCATCCATCCCCCGCCTACAAACTCCAGCCCCGCTCCAGCCTCTCTGTTGGGCAACTCCCGGCAGCCCCAGACACCCAAAGCCTGCGCCCACCCGGCTCCCTTTTCCATAGCACCCGGCTCTTTATTGAGAGGGGTGGCATGTGGGGCGGCGGAGAACCAAGATATGTGGAGCGAGATGTGGCTTGCTCCTCTTTCCGTCTCTTCTCCCCCCCTCACCAGGGACTGGGGAGACACGAGATGCGCGTCTTACCTGCCTTGCAGCTCTGTCGCGTGTCTCTCTCTTGTCTGCAGGCAAACATTTTGTAGGGTAAAAAAAAAAACTTGCGAGTTCAATCAAACTTCTCGAACTCACCAAGAAGCCCTGAAGTGACCGGGGAAGGGAAGGGCTGTCTCCTGTGCTGGCCATGCCCACCCCGTCACTAGGGTTTATTTCGGGGGGAGGGTGTATATTTACGCCACCCCAAAAATCAGGCTTGGCCTTATTTTCGGGACATGTCCTATTTTCACGGAAACACGGTAGCAGTTGAAAAGCATGTGACAACACTAGTAGATAAATAGGTACCACTTTGGTGGGAAATGTGGCATGTTTGGTACAGATGTCAGGCCCCTAACAATGCTGGACTTGCTTGGATGTGACACCCAACTGTGAGGCACCATCGGTGGCGAGAGAAGGCCCAGATGATGCCACAGGACACCTCTCGGCTTTCTGGTGTGGAGCTGGTTCACCCCCTGTGGTGAACCCTGGAGAAGCTCATGGGCACAAACTGAATGGACTCGCACTCTTTGGCAGCGAAACAAATACTATGTACTAACATTGTAGACTCCTGGCTAATTATACCTTTGCCCTATGCTAAATAAGTAAATATTTTAGCACTTTAGCCATATACATGAGAATCCTTCCTTAGTCCTGGTAAGTCATTAATATCCAGACTGAAAAACAAGGGTTCAAATATTCATTCTTCTGTGTTACCCCTTGGTAAGTATCGATCCTTTTTCTCGTGGCTCCATTGAGCCCCAACCTCCCTCTCAAACAAGGGCTTGGATCAGGGCCAACAGGCTAGTTACATTTTGTGGGCAATCAATTTCCTCCATCATATTGATCTGCTCTTTGTGTCAAATGCTGCACTAACATCTATAAAAGCTAGAAAACTGTGGTTTACCCGACTGACATATTGTGTAATTAGATACTTCAAAACTAATCTGTTGACAATATTAGATTATTAATTGATTGATTACTATACAACTTTATGAAACTCTTTACTCTACTTAAACCTTTTTTTAAAAAACATAAAACACATCTTTTTAGAGCAAGGGTTTGATCCGGTATAACATAAGTATGTTCCAAACCATACCGGTAAATTTGGACATTTTTTTTTCCGGAATTGAATAAATATATTAGGAAATTCGTCTGGGGGGGAGGGAACCTAGGATCTCACTTAGAATTTTACAGGAAAAAAGGAGCGGGGGGGGGGTTTCGGACTCCCTGATTGGGAAATATATTATAAGGCAGCTAATTTAGTGTGGATAAGGGAATGGGTCATCTTAGAAAACAAAAGAATCCTAACTCTGGAAGGCCACGATTTGCAGAGAGGGTGGCACGCTTACCTATGGGATAAAGATAGGGGGGGAAAAAAACATACTTTCATAGGCACAAAATTAGGGACACACTAATACAAACTTGGACTGAGATTAGGCAACGGCAATATATGAAAGTCCCGAAGTGGCTTTCTATAATGGAGGCCTCGCTACATCCCAGTATGCTGGGAATGGAGAAAATGTGTAGATATAAGGACATTCTGGATGGCGGAGGAAATCTCAAATCCAAGGATTCTTTGAGAGAACAAGGTATTCATATTGACTGGTGGCCATACTTACACCAGTAAGTGATTGGTGGTCTAGATATCAAAAAAATAAGGAGGAATTCGGTGTAGAAATAGGATGAAATGGATTTGATAAGGTTTTGATGGGAACGGGAAAAAAATGTTGGCCAAATTATACAATTATTTATTAGAATACGATAGGGTGGAGGAGGTGGTTAAAAATCAAATGACTGCGTGGGCAAAGAACATTGGGCATAGTATAAATTTGAATGATTGGGAAACTATCTGGAATAAGAACTTTAAATTGACTAGAGCAGTAACGTATAAAGAGAATCAATATAAAATGCTATACAGGTGACATTTAGCCCCCGCAAGATTAGCCAAAATTTACCCAAATACAAATTCAAATTGTTGGAAGTGTGGCCACCGCCAGGGTACCTTCTTCCATATGTGGTGGACATGCCCCGAAGCGATGAAATACTGGAAAAAGATTCGGAAATGGATACAAGAAATAGTTGGAGAAGACATTGATTTGGCACCGGAAACATTTCTCCTGGGAATATTAAAAAGGGCCTATGGCAAAAAAAAGAGGTATCTAATAATACACATTACTACAGCTGCCAGACTGATATATGCACAATATTGGAAAGAAAAGGGATTACCACCAGAAGAGCATATAATTAGAAAAGTATTTGAATGCGCAGAGATGAGTAAACTAACTTATGAGATAAATGAGGATGAAAATTCGGATTACTATACGGTATGGGAAGGGTGGTATAAATGGATGGATGATAAAATAAAGGAAGGCGTAAGGGATGGTGTGATCACTAAAAGGAATAAGTAATTTAAGAGACACCATGTATATATCCTGTATATATGTACAAACACTGCTTAACCGATGCTAGTAGAATTGTAATATTATGTAACTTGATAAAATTAATTTTTTTTAAAAAAAAACCATAAGTTCCATATTTCATCCATTAACATCTTAAAGAAAAAAAAGGGAAAAAAAGAACAAATCTAAACCCAATTTTTATCATTCCGTCTAGCATCTTATTCTAGCATTTGACATTCTACTATGTAATCACCCTAAAACTCCAAATCTAAACAGGTCTTTATAATATTCACTTATCATTTTAACAATCAGTATTTCATATATTTTCCTTACTTCAAAGACCCAAATCAAATCAATGTTTCTTTTGAATCACATCTAATAACCAACATAAAATATTTTACTCCCCTCTTAAAAACATTTCAAAATCAATTCACTTTAAAAAAATTTCCACATTTCCACCTATAATTTATTATACCCAAAATATTGCTGCACTAACATCTATAAAAGCTAGAAAACTGTGGTTTACCCGACTGACCTATTATGTAATTAGATACTTCAAAACTAATGTGTTGACAATATTAGATTATTTTTTTTATTGAAAAAGTTTTACAAATACAAATTTTCCCCCTCCCCCCCTTTCCCTCCCTAACCCTCCCTTACCCTCCCCTCCCCCCATGGCTGCCCCAGGATGAAATCCAAATCCAAATCACATTATATAATACTTTACCGCCCATCTACTCAACCCCCTTTGTGGTATACATTTCGTCCTAACATTCTGGTATTCTATCCCCTATATACTATACATTTCTACACAATATTCAACTAAAAGTTATCTGATACTTCCTAATTTAATATTTATTCTGCACACAATCTATCCATTTGCTCTACTCCCATACATAAATCTCTTGGGTCCAGTCTTTAATGTTTGCTAATATCTTCGCCTTTTCTGCAAAACTGGCCATTTTCAAAATCCATTCTTCTATAATAAACATAACATCCCTTTTCCAATATTGAACAATCAGTAACCTAGCCTATCACCATATACCATATTAATTTTGTTTCATCCACTTTCCCACAACATATATAATAATTCATAACATCTAAACAATTACATCAAATCTTCTTCCAACAGTGTATTTGTCTTTAGTTGCCATCTGCCCCCATCATTGAAGAGTACTTCTATATACGAAAACCCCCCGAATGACTGTATATTTATATTTATATTCCGTATAATATCTTCTGTAAAGTCTTTCATCTAGATTATTAGTTCCATCGACCATGTTAGGGTAACAACCAGATCAACTGCAAGTGCCCTTACTCCATAATCCTCTTGCCTCGTAGCTATTCCCTTCAACGTAAACATAATCCATCTTTCTTAAAATCTGTAATAGAAAGTTCCAATTCACTCGCTTACAGGCCTTCTCCACAGCCTAAAACACCAGCACTGCAGGGATCTGTTTATTCTTCTCAAGATAGTCCAATAAATCTATAATTTGCCTCACATTATCTTTCATGTGTCTGTCTTCTATAAATCCTGCTTAATCATGAATCAACTCTTAGATAACTGGCAATAGTCTGTTGGTTAATAGTTTTGCAAAAGTTCTTTATAATTCATATTCAAAAGAGATATTCTAAAAAAATTTAGTTTTGTAGAACCTGCTTCTTTTCTTGCCTTGTGCTGGCTTAGACCTCTGCTGTTGTTGTTTTTCTGGAGTTTGTTTGTAGACTGATCGGGTTATACACTGATCTTTAACTTTGTAAGACATCAGATCAA